CAACTTGGAAAGGCTTGCAACTGGAACAGCAAGAATACTATAAGGATGACTATGTGCACAGTGGTCAGCATATGGAGAGTTATACAGGCAGAAGAGACTCTTGTATCCATAACTAATGGAATGTAACTATATTTGATAAATGCTCATTGCCAACAGGCACAGCACACTGTCAGCACATATTGCAGAATGCAAGACTTGAATAAGGCAACATGGATCATTTAGAGATGATCCAAATTATACTGGGATAAGGATGATGCACCTACAGCCAAGAACAAAAATACACACAAAAAAAGATGCAACAGAAAAACAACTGAAAATGAAACATTGGAAAATCTGGTGCAGTAACCCACCTAATAAGACCAAATCTGAAGACATTCTGAATGCTGCCCTACACACCTGATAAGGCACCCCTAGCAGGGCACTGAGCTGGCAGAATCATAAATTGGTCTCTCAAATAATACACAAAACCCATTTCCATGGCAGAAACTAAAGCTACAGTAGTAAAAACAATTGTAGTATATTTATTACAAGCTTTCAAGAAGCAGAGAATTATGGTACTCCATTTCCTTCAAAAAGAAAAAAGTTTAAATTCCATGCAGTTATTTGATAAGAGTCGATTTGGTAAGACATGCTTCTGCAATCTATATAGCTTGAAGGATCTGGAATTATGGGGACACTGAAATACAAATGTTAAATACACTTCAGAGCTGTTCAATAAACAAAACGGAAAAGAAAAGGAAGAAAAAGCCAGGGCAAGTATATAAAAAGCCTTGAAACTGACCTTTCCAGGCTAACTCATACTAAATTTTTTATCAGATGCTAATACTTCCCTTGCCATCACTATCTACAACACAACAAGCATATATATATATATATATGTATATATGATTCAGCGTTACATTTAAGATCATAAAAGCAGATCTGTTTGGAAGGCAAATTTGAGGTGCTCTTCTCTGTTCTTAAAACACATAGCAAGATTATGCTGGATAATCACAGCTTTTGAAAAGAGAAAAAGCTAAATTTTCCAGCATCGTGATTTCACAGTAGAAAACAGACAATCATGCATGCTTCAAGTGACATCTAAATTTATCTTTTCTCTACTGCAAACAATATTTTACATTGCAACTATGAATTTTGCATTCTTAACACCTATAATTCAAACAGAAGGATAAAGAAATGAGGCTGCTACACTTATTTTTGTCACAAGAACAATTAGCTGAAGCCAAGATCCTTCCTAACCAAAGAAACTAAATATATTTTTAATTCTGGTAGTATCATTCCACCCTTGTGAGGGTAACCAAAATACAATGGCTATAGTTATCGGGACTCCAAGCAGAACATCCAGAGCAGTCCTAAGCTGGTGATGCTATATGCTGAGTAACCTCAACTCTCAAGAAAGTTTTGCACATGCAAAAAGATCAAGCAATTTCCAGATTCCACATAGAAGCTAAATATAATTGAGCAGACAACTATTCAGAAAAATATATATATATAAATATATATCTCCTTAGAAGCAGCACAAGAGAAGCTGTTAAAGAAGTTCTCAATTAGGACATCCTCATGAGCTACTGAGGTATTTGTAAATGAATTTGTGAATGAATTCCAGCTAGCACAGCACTTTATATTGCATATATATCATCAAGTCACCTAGTATGAGTTCCCAAGTCAATTGTTCATGCAGACTTGATGATTAAATGCAGCCTGGCCTTCACTTTATGTTGAATCAAATTTATGCAATAAGTTTTGCTCTCATTTGAAAGTTTTGCCATTCCTTCAATAAGTTTCAGGTTTTGCTAGTAAAGGTCTGCACAACACTCTGGCTACACATTGCATGAAACATGAAAATACTAACCTGTTACCAAAAACTACACTGGAAAAGTCCATGATGAAATCTTCTGGTATCCTTAAAGAAAAGATCAACAATACAAAGCAGTTAAGTGTTCTGTAACCACAAATATATAGTCTTATCTGCAAGAACTACTATAGAATGCAAAAAGTGACATCATTTTCCATTTTCCCTTGCTTAAAATTGCCATCAGTTCTTAAGTAACCATTTCAGTATTGATTTGGTCTAGGCACTGTTCTGCTCAGAATGGCTCCAATAAGTCTTTTTACATCAAGAACCTTAAGAGCTCCATTTTTCTTTCATACCTAGGACAAGCTTTTTGTTAAAGCATACAGATATGGCAGGAGTGTGTTTCAAAAGAAGTCAATATTGCCTGAGTCTTCCCACAGTGAACACAAAATCAATTTTATCGGTGGCACTGTGAGCAGAAGTGAACCAGCAATGCATGCTTTCAAAAATCCCAGCGCACACATTTCATTGCTCCATTAAAGTACAATGAAAAGAGGACAGAATGAATTGCTCCAGAAGTGAAACCAGAGACCCTTGTATAGCTAAGGGTGCCTACAAAAGAGCTATAGCTAACATGGGGAGAACAGGCACAAACTGAATTGGAACCATGAACTAAGAGCTGGTTGAACAAACCAACCCACATTCCATGCACTTTTTGCCACTTTACTACTTTACTATTCCTTTGATGTTGTGACCGCCTTATAAACAAGCTGTTGTCGATTTTCAGTTCAATATATCAAGCTGAGAACTGCCGAAGACTGCAGAGTAAACAACATCCATTCCGCTGTCTTTGCCACAGGGACAGCAGTCTCCTGCGGGGAGGCAGGTTGGACAAGGGGGAAGAATAACCACTTCAGTTGCCACTGCTAAGTCCAGCATACATCATGAATCAGTGTCCAGAGACATTACTCAGCCTTGCCTTGAGAAAAATAGCAGCATATCAAAGAAAATCAAAGCAAACAAGGAAGTGACCCATCCTAAAGGGCTTAGTGTCTAATGGTGGGGAAAAAAACAACTCAACTTGCATAGTGGAAAGAGGAAACAGTAGTTGTCAGACCTTGAATTTTTTAGTAGAAGTACAATTAAAATAGTTTTAAAAAGAGATTTGGATATAATTGAATCCACGTTAACCAGATAGTTAGACATCTAGGCTACATCTAAAAAAAGATCATCCAGACTGAACAGCACCTTCATATTGACATGAATAATCCATTAAAGGGAGAGAAAAACAACCAGAACTACAGGAGTCTGAAACATTAAAAAGTGGTCAGATGACAAGGACAGAGGCCCAGAAGTCTGTATTTTTGAACACAGCCATTGTCCCCAGCCAGCTCTTTCAGTGGCTTGTGATACTTATCAGCTTGCTCCACTGTTCAAGAGAAGGTGGGAAAAGCAAACAAAACAACCCCCCCCACACATACACCCACAACTTCCATGGAGTCAACACAAATTCATCAGTTTTACTGACCCTCTTTAACCTGGGTGCAAACTCCATCATGTGCCAGAGGAAGCAGCTTGAGTTTTAGCTCACAAGGCAAAGCCCAAATTCCAGCACTGAGCTCCAAACAATTGTCCCAACAAGGCATCTTTCACCAGGGGCCTCAACTACATCTGGCATCTGTCTAAATCTGTTCCTTTCATCTGCCTGAATTTGCTTGGGACTTCGCAGAGTAGAGGCCGAGAAAGCCAATCGGCAGAATTTGCAGGCCAACATGAAAACAAGGATAAAAAAAGATTGAGAGATCTCTATTAACCTGCACCTTCTCGTTAGTTATCAGAACACTGAGAATCTCAGCAAATTAACAAGTTGCTCTACAGAGCAAAATATCAAGTGCACTTCTGATTCCCTCTTGTTATTACAAAATGTGAAAATAAGGGTAAAAAAACAGAGATTGTTAGTAACTGATGCCTAACTTTTAGGACATTAACTTCTATTCAGAGATGCTCTGAATAGACAAATCAGATTTTTACTAAGCCTGTGTAACAAATGTTATGCTTTGTTGGCTAATTGGCACAAGAGATCATAGCTGAACAATGCAGTAGGATTTCACTAGTGTCATATCATTGGCCTTTCAAAGAAGGGAGAGAAAAAAAAAAAGGCAGTTTCCTAGCATCTGAAGAGTTAACGTTATCTTACTAAACATGCTAGAAAATACTGCAGGACCAGGTTGGGGTGGCAGAGAGGTCAGTCACATTTGTATTAACTTGCATTACGGGCTACATTAGACCCATCTCCTGAGCATGTAAAATTTATCGTTCACATTCAGTACCACAACAAGTCTTATCCAACATCTGTTTTTTTTCTCCTCTCTAGCTTCACATGACTTTGGTAAGGGATGTACTTGGACTACTTGCATGCAATTTGTATAGCAAGCTTGTTATGCAAAAAATAATAATAATAATAATTTGGAGAAGTAATTGCATAAAGACTACTAAAACAAACAAGTGAAAATTAACAGGCTTACCTGAGCTCCTTCAGGTCTTCTTTAAAAACCTAAAAAGACAAGGAAAGCAAAATTTTTACAGGCCATAGCTTTGAAACATGACTTCTTACAAGCTGAATTAAAGAGTGGTTACTTGTAAGCTAATTGTAAAACCAATGTCCCTGCTATCTGTAACACATTTTTCTTGTAGAGTAATTATGTGACCTTATTCTTGCACATGCTTTACAGTAACTTGTGTAAGCCAAAAGAGCAGAAAGGAAGTTCCAGAAGATAAAGTCTGAATGCTAAAAGACTTGCCCTATGTCTACTGCCATACTGGAGCTTTTCCATTATGCCTGAGTAAATACAAAAATGGTATCTTAAGCAAGAGCAAGGTGCCAGAAGCTCATAAGCGGTTTCCCCGCATAAAAGCAAATGATAAGATAAGTGATAAGATTTAAAAGTGTAAGATAACATAACAAACACAAAATAGCCATAAAGAAGAAATCTGTGTTGAAAATATAGCAGCTCTATCTACATTCATTCATGCAGAACATCAATACCATAACCACAAATATCACATTCTCCCAAATCCCACCATATTGTTCTGCCTGTAAGCCCTCCCTTCCTCTATGACAAAAATCTGACAAAAAAACAGAAACAAATGTAGGAAACCAAGTGTAAACAAAGTGGTAGGTGTGACAAACAAAGTAGGAGAGAGTTGAGACCACAGAAATAACTTTTTTCAATGGGTTTAATTCAACAGGGATTCATTCAAGAGTGAAAACAAACACACGTGGTAAGCAAGATTCTAAAGCAGTAGAAGATAAGAAACCTCTTTCCCACAGAAGAAATACTCTTTTGACAAGTTCACTGCAAATCTATGCAACATAAAAAGTAATAATCTCTGGATTTTTAAGTTTTTCATCTACTTTAATTTGGAGTAGCATTTTTATGCTGAGCTCCCCACCCTTGCAAATAGGGTTTAAATGGTAACTCATGACTGACGTAACTTCAGCTTATCAAGGCCTTGAGCATTCCCAGAACTTACTTCTTGCTTCAAAGTTGATAAGGGGAGTCTTAAAGCTTCTCGGAGAAGGGTGTACATGCCAGAAATGAGGAAAGCAAGCTGTTCTTCGGAGAGATTAGAGCTTTCTGCAATCAGTTTGACAGACTCTTTGCAATCTTTTCCTTCCAAGGCACTTACAGTGACTGCAAATAAGAAACCAATAAAAGATTCTTTAAAAAAGAGGAAGACATTGGCATAAATATATCTATAACTTTACTTGACTTAGCAGCTTCACACTTTTCCTGACATGAAACTACCACTCCAGGTCTCTAAACACCTAATCATTTACCAAAAATCAGTCTCACAGTATTTTATCAGGAGAATTTAAACAGATTATGCATTTGCATTGTAAAATTGAAGATGTTTCCACTATGAAATTTTGTTCTAGTAAGATATAAAAAGAAAAAGGAAGTTTTCCTTTAAATTTAACCTTGTATCAACAAACTTGCTGACATCAGAAGTCTACTTGCAACTTAACTACACTTTCTGATACACAGAATAAAAAAGTACCAAGACAATAAACAACTCAAGGTTGTTCTTCAATGTTTCGCATATTAAATTTACATTGCAACGTCAGCAGTGACTAAATATTAAATGAGCAAGGAAGCAAAACTGAATCTTTGAGTTCAAGTAGTTTCTACAACCGCTGACAGTAGAAGCTCTCGCAGGAAATGACCATAGAGCAATATCAGATATGATTAACTAGGCTGGTTTTAACTCAAAATGCAGCATCCAATTATTCTTCTTTCTTCCCTAAACACACTGGCTTACGTAATTTTGGTTGATGCAGCCTGATCCATGCAAGCGGATGCACGGAGACACAGAAAGCCCCTCTGGGGAAAAAGGATTCCACATGGCCTATTGCAGCCACTTACAATGCAACAGATTTACTGCTGCAAACAAAACATAAGAAGTTAAAAAAGCCTAGCAAGTTCTACTGAAAGCAAAGTCTAAGAGACTACCTTAAATCTATTTTTTTTAAGTTTGAATTGAACTGTCTTCCTTTTATATTAGATGTGTTCCAGTGAGTATCACCTTCTATTTCTGGATTAGCTTTCTTCCTCTTTCAAATTTTTAAGTGCAGATAAAATTGAAATTAAAATCATTGATATGGCTGGCTGAGTTCACCTGACATGACCTGCAGGGCAGGTTTGGCACAAATTTTCTAGAAGGTGCAGAATGTTAGTACCCAACTTTGCAGACCATCTGGAAAATGCTCCGCCTTAAATCCAAACAACTGCCTTTGAGAAGAGAAGAAAGGATCAATGTACTGAAAAGGCCAAGCACAGACTAGTGCTGAAGTCTGCCTGTCAGATCATTTTCTGAGCAGAAAACAGGTTAATGTCTACTTAAATACAACTTTGATCTGTCTCTGTGAAAAATAGCATTTTGCTTATGGTTTCTAACCAGGTAGCTTTAGTAACAGAACATTCTGTATTCTTCCTATTGACTGATCCCAAGAACTGGCTAAAAATCCACATCATCTTATTCTTCTATTCTATTATCCAACTTTTATTATGGAAAATTAAAAAAAAAATAAAAAAACTCAGGGTTTAAACATCAGGGAACTTAGAAGTCTACTAAAATCCAGTCAGGTCTTCAACGGCAACCAGTCCTGCAAATGTAAAAAAGGCCCATCCTAGAAGCTGTTTTCACAGCCCAGGAAGGGCAGAGGACACCTGGGATCTCCTTCTACCTCTGCTTAACCTGTAAACACATTTCCACTGGCTCTGGTAGAGACCGATAAGGCAACGTTCACTTGCTCCGGCTTCAGAAATTTGAGGGAAGCTTCAAGTATTTGCGCAAGTCTGCGCGCTCCCCCTGCAGCGCGAGGCGCTTACTGCACGCGAAGCTTAGGCGATAATTTGCGGCGAAATTAAACCCACATGGGATTTAGGAGACGGTCAGACTTCCTGACATTAATTAATAATCTTTCCATTTCCGTTCCCCCCGCACTAAACCGCAAATTACAGTTCTTCGTGTGTATCTAATCCTATCCCAAATGCCCCAGTCGGGAGGTTTCTTACTGGAAAGCTCCGTACTCGGGGAGCGCGGGGCTGCGGCGGCTCCTCGCGGCCGCGCTACCCTCCCAACCTCCTGTGGAGCCGCCAGCGGGCTCGGCGCAGCGGGAAGCGCCCCCGGGCTGCGGGCTCTGCCGCCGCAGAAGGCCCGCGAGAGCGGCGAGCCCGGCCGCGCGCGGGGGTCC